TTGTTATGCACTACATATTTACCAACAACTAATGTAAATCGTACAACATACACAGATAAATTCGCCCAAACGATCGGTTAATTTTTCACCCAAATGATGTATGGTTTTCACAAGATAAATTTTAGGTCATACGACCTTTTTGTTGGGTGATCGCAAATAGTAGGTATACTTTTAGGTACCTTTATGTTGGGCGCAACTAGTTATGTATTTTTAAATTTTGACCGCGACTAGTAAACACCGATAAAAAGAACGGGACATTTCACAAGAATAATGGTTTCATTATTTTCAATTTTGTTTTTTAGACGTAGTAAAATGCGAAAATCATCGGTAAAAGAAAGTACAGACAAATATTTATGGCAAGCATCGTTATTTTTAATTCTCCACAGTTTGTTTTTTACTATGCCAACTAGACAAAACTTAATTTCAGAAAAGGTACTACACTCTATACATTGCAAATGTCTTTTCGAAAAGTTGTTTACAAACAGAAAAAAAATACATATCACAGTAAAACCATTAAATTCCTTACTCTTCGAATCTGAAATCTATAATAAAGAAATCATACTCAATACAATATGTGCCCGGTTTTTTCATTTTACATCTTTATTCACATTTTTTTCAATTATAATGACAATTGGTTTTACAACCAATAGGTAAAAACAAGATTTTTAGTAAAAATCTGAAAGATAATTAAAGGTAAAACTGTAAATATTTATTGCGCGTGGCGTTACCGATTTCATTATTTTAAATTTATGTATACGACGTTCTCTACCAGAAATATTTCTCCAATTGGAAAATGACAAGGGATTGGTTTTATTTTGTTTTTTAGTTTTTTTTTTTTGATAACCGAGCAAAACTGAAAAATACATAGAAAGAAGTGGACAATTTACGAAAATAATTCTTTTATTCTGTTAAATTTTTATTTTTTAATATAATTCAGTTTAAAATTTTTTTAGAAACTTAAATTTTTGATAAAAACTTATATTTAATTTTTATATACATGGTACAACTTTTAGAACATTTGAATCATTTTTTGAAGTATTTATAGATATTTTAATTTTTCGAGATTTTATGTAATTTGTATTTGGTAGGTACTCTGTAGATAAATTGTTAGACTTGACAGAAATATTTGACAATTTGACAGAACAAACATTATAAGTCGTACTTAGTGGTACAGAAAAAAAGTAGTGTTTATTTTTTTTGAAAAGAGTTAAAATCATATTTTGACGAAAATCGTAAATATTACGGACTTTCAAAATATGTACAACCAATGTGTACAATATTTTAACTATTTTGACTATGAAATCTATTTGCGAATATATTGCGTATAATATATAGTATATTCTATGGAATACTTATATTGGATGAATGGAACAAATTTAATTGTGTTATTATTTTATTTCATCGACACTTTAAACTAAAATGAAACCGCACGATCGTAAAGACAATGTCGATGTAGGTATATAATATCAAAAATGTATTACATTAATTGATAAAAACGAAATACTACTCAATACTCGTCCTATTGACAACAATACCTACAATATTTTTTATGTGTCTATTAGAATTTCGTAATCGTGACGAGTTTTGGTTATCAAAGAATTAAAAATTAAACTATATTGAATGTTATCGTGGAGTGTTGAAATAGATGCGTGAATATAATAATATTGTTTAGGTCAAAGTACGGAAAAGTAATAAAGACAGTAATAAATTACTACCATCTGATGTTTAATATCTTATATAGGAAGTTTCTATAGTCACTTAACCCGGGACATAGAAATAATATTAATATGTTTTCTGTTGTACAATAAAATATATGAATGAATATTGAATACTGACTTATTGAATATAAATTCAATATTAGGTACACAGTGGCTTTACAGGGTTATGATTTTTGTTTGCTGCGAAATTTTGTATGTGATCAGGAATACTTAAATGTTTATACACTATCACTACCTCAGATCTTGCGAGAAGGGGAGGGAGGTTCAATTTTTTTTTATATTTTTTCAACGTTTATTTTTCATTCCTTATAGTTTTACTATTTTTTTTTTTTTTTTTTTTATCTAATAATAAGTATTAAAGTATGTAATATGAAGTATAAACTTACCAGAATTAAAATTTAATGTTTTGAAAAAAATATAATTGAGAATTTTTATCTTTTAGATTCTGAGCGGCGCCGCAAGGAATGTATTGGTTTTACAATGATGTTTACCACCAATTATACTCTGATTATCAAATATAGCATATTTTCTGAATAGACATTTTCATAGGGTGGCACTTTTTGGAATGTCATTTAATTTTCAAGCGGATTTCATAATTATTGTAAAAAACCAGTACGCTTAGAAGAGATGGGACAATTTACAAATATAATAATTTTATTAAAACAGGAGGTTTATTTAACAGACGGTTCATTATAATTTGTACTTAGTGATCAACAAAATAAAGTTGAGTTTAATGTAATATATGTTTTTTAGAATTTTAATATCAAATTTTGACGAAAATCATAAATATCATGGTCTATAAAACATATATACCGAACATGTACCGAACTTCACTCAAAATCGATTTTTTTTAGCAAAGATAAATCTTTGCGTATACATTAAATTTCTCTCAATATCTAACTTTTCCAACTTCTAACCTAAAACAGTGGTTTAAAAATCGTGCGAAGTATGCCCGTCTTTTTATAAGTAATTTAAATCTAACGTCATTAAATTATAGTTATTTTTGATCAAGATTTAACATTAAAGTTCATTTAATTAGTTGATGTAATAATGTAACTAGATAATATTTACAATATTTTTCATGTTCCCATATAGTATTATGCACTCAAGGCGTGGACCACGATATATCTAAATTTTAGATTCTAAAACGTCAACCTAATGCCAATTAATGTCCATTTGATCATCTACTATTGGCGCCGTTCACCAGGCGCTGCATATCGGCCTCTCTACCTACTGCATCTTGTGTGGTCTATACCTCATTCCGTTTCGTCACTTTTGGGAAAATCAAAAAAATGGTCTTTCTGAAGTACCTCTTAGTGCAATTTCCTTTTAGAAACATTGCTATCATTAAAAGTTGGAACAAAATTGCTGGCAGATAAGTTGTATACAGAAAAAAATAAGGCCGTAATATATTTCAATACAAATGTATAAAATGCGTTGTAGACATTATTGCAATGGCGCCAGTATGACAATGATTCCGGAAACATACTATTATTTGATTTGTGCTGCTATAGCTAAGAAAGGGGACCGGAATATATAATGCGAGGAACCAGTCCCATTATAAATATTACAATACGTATAATGAAATCGGTATAGAATATACCACCGAGTAGGTAGGTAGACACCTAGGTGTGTATAGGTATACCTATAGTGTTCGTTATTTTTACAATTCTCTTTCCTATACCTAATGGTTCTTTGTTTCGTTGTAGTACAGCTACACTTTATAATATGTATATGCCTATAATTTAGATTCTCTTTCAGATTTTAAATCCGACGTTAATATTTTTTACGAGTAAGCTGGGAGATTACTAATTTTGTTGTTATTCGTTCCAACATATAATTATAGCAATGTTTCTAAATGGAAATTTCACTAAACTGGTACTTCAGAGAAGTTAATTTTCGATATTCTCAGGAATTTCGTCATCGAATTTGAAAAACCGAAAAAAAAACGGATGCAAAACAGGAAAATATCAGAAATGTAAGTATTAAATAAAATATATTACAGTCTTCTTTTTAGCTGTACACAAATTTTCTACCAGCAATTTTGCTCCAATTTATAATGATAGCAATTTTTTTACTGCTAACTCCGCTCAGAATCGTTTCATCGTAAGCAATGGTTTATCGTTGCTAAACAGTTATGCATTAAATTATATATAGTCGAGCTAAACACAAGTAATAAGGAATAAATACAAAACAAGTTGATTAAGGATTATAGTTTCTGAGCATGTGGTGTAGTGGGTGGTTATGACCGAACAAAGTAGAGTGGCTAGATATAAAGAACGGAGACTGTTTGGGAGTAACGCATGAACGAACTCTAAAAATAATTTTTTAAGAATATCTCGAGCATCCAGAGACCCATCTAAAAGAGAGACAACGAATTGCTGATCGACTGCAATCCGCCGAGAGGAGTAGGCTTCGATCTAAAGGGTGTTCCATTATTGTATATATACATATATTACATATATTATATATAATGGCTTATTACGGGGTCTAGGACAAATAGAAGCGGCTATTTAGACGCCGCCATATGTAGTACGCCACATAGACGAATTCCAAGTTCTTTTAAGGTCTTTAACGGTCTTTTAAGATATTTTGCCATGAAAAACCAATATTTATTTATTTATTTTGTATAAATTAAAACATAATGTTAATTCTTTGTTACATTTAGGTTTAATAAAATGTTCAATAAATAAATAAAATATATATAATACATACTTTCCTAAAAATATTTATGAGAAAACATTTTTTTTTTTTAAAACAAAATTATGGTCAAATATATTTATATTTAAAAAAAAAAATATGTTTCTTATCTTATTTAAGTTTTACGATGCAATGATAAATACATTTTTTAATTATAGTACCTCTTATTGTATTATTTAAATTATTTACAAAATGAATGAAAAAACTAAATGGAACAAAAATTGATATAACAATTAACAATATTGATTGACTTTTAAATATTCATGAAATCATTGTTGAATCAGTAAAAAAAATCCCGTTTTCAAAAAAAAACCTATAAAAACTGCAGTTTTTCAAAAGTATTATTTAAACATAAAAAAATAAAATTATATTTGGGATTTTAAAGTGTGGTTTAATTTTCAAATATGGTTATAAATTAGCTTTGTAAAAAACTGAGCTTGATTAAAAGATAACATCAGTTATTTTACAAAATAATAATTAACATTACACCTTAAATTATTAATATTATAAATTGTCACAGATTTCTGCACCACTTCTAGTTAATAAGAGAAACATGAATACTATATTTAACTATAATTTTATTTAAAGATCATAAAACTGTTCTGATAAATACAATGTAGTAGTTTCTGAACAGCATATCTTAATAACTTTAGTTTTAGCCTTTACCATTTTTGAATCCAACCAGTTTTGTAGGTATGGTAATGAAAGTAGGTCTAAATTATTCGACTTGTCTTTGTCAATATCAGGAATTTCTAAGTCTTTAGGTTGTGGTTTCAGTCCTAATTTTTTTGATCTTAAATTTGGGATTTTGTTAAAAGGTTCTCTTATTTCTGACTGATTTAGTCCCAAAACTACATGTGTTAATGTTTTCGAGAGTTTTTCAAGACAACCAATTAGGCGACACCGATTGATTGTTGCAGACTGAAAGAATAAATCATATTAATAAGATGTAATAAGTGTGTTAAAAATTACAATATTATAATACTTACTTCGCAATTATAGGTAGGAATTATCAGTAAAGCTTTTATACCATCGCATTTTGCCAATTTTTGTGCCACGCAATTACTAAAGTCAATGTTGATCAGTTCCAATTTCTTTAATTTTTTCAAAGATCTAATGGCATTAAAAGTTTCTTTTTCAAATTTTTCCTGTCTTTTACAAAATTTTTCTAATCTTAAGGATCTTAAATTAGTTAGTTTTTTTAAAAACATTGGGAAATCAACAGGTAACCATTCACAGTCTCCTATTTCTAAAACTTCCAGGTCAATTGAAATTGTTCCCAAATTCATGCAGATATCTTCAGGGAATGATATAATAGATGTCAATGACTAAAAAAAAAAAGTTAAAACATAAAAATAAATAAAATCATAGTAATTATTACAATTATACATTGAAATAAATAAATGGTATACAAGTATAATTAGTTGAATAGTAATTATTGTGCATTCATATATTTTTAAAGGATAATCAATTAATTAATTAAATTGAAAACAATTAGTAGTTCATAAAATTAAAAACATTTTAAACTTCTCCGTTTACTAGTAGAATTATAATTTGAGTTATTCTTGAAGTACAACTATGATAACTTACCAAAGTTTTTAGTTTGGTCAAATGTGAAAATGTTAGTTCTGGTGATGATAACAGTTTAATTCCAGTTTGATCATTAATTCGTAATTCTGTTAGATTTATCATGTCGCTCACATAGTCCATGTTAATGTTAAGTTCATTTACAATTTTTGCATCACCCGGTACATGTGGATTTCTGAAAAATAATAAAATTAATTAAATCATTAGCTATAATTTTGTTAAGTATAAAAAAATCATATTCTTATTATTACTTTATTGAATTGATATTCAATTTTTCAAGTTGACGTAATGAACACATAACATCATAAACAACCTTAATTGGACATTTATATAGTTTAAGAACTTTTAATTTAGTTGCATTGGGTATGGCTTGAGAAAAATTTGACCAAAAAAGCTCTAAGTCCTGAACTTTTGAAGGCATTAACAAGCCATCAGTGTCTAATGAAATACATCTTTTCACTTTAAGAAATTCTACTAATTTCTTCCAGTCACTAACCATCACATTTTTTAATTGAACATTTTGCCACTAGAAAAAAAAACATTTTAAACTAAAATAACAAGTCAATGATTAAAGTATAAGACAATTATTTGAAATCTTAGGCTCAAATTTAAATACATTTGCAACTTTTATGATATAATGACTGCTCAAAATGATCAAATACACACCTTATCTTATAATGAAAATCTATTTATTGCAGTTTTTACGAATTATTTTTTTTATGAAACATTAAAAAAACTAATTTGTATTATAAGCTGTATTGTATAAAAAAAATAGTTTATACAAATAATGTCATATTATTAAGTTTTTCAATATAACAAGTCTTAAATACCTTAACCTTAGTTGTCAAGAAGCTATTTTTAATTGAAAAAATACTATATAATATGTCATTGTTTTAGATATTATCTTTTAATTTATTGACATTAAAACAGCACAATTTTATTTAATTTATCTATAATTGTTGAGTCTTAATTTTTTTAGGATATTCATTTTTGAGCACTATGAATTATTGTATAATTACTTAATTGTTCTTACTAAACATGTATCCATTGCAATACAGTTCCAAGAAGAACACACTCTGGTTACAGTTATTAGATCTTTCGTTTTTAAATATTGAAAAACAAACTTCAGTGAATTACTTAAATCATTAAATGATTGCATATTTGAATTTAGACCAATTATTATTGCTGGTAGCCCATTCATTTCAAATATTCTGTAACAATTCAATAAAAATAATTGAGTTCATTACTATTTCCTGGTTTTAAATTGAAAAAGCTTTTTTTTTTTTTTTTTTTTTTGTTTGTATGTTCTCCATCAGGCATATATAAATACATACATATATATACTACCTTTAAACATGCAAACAAAAAGGGTCTTAGAATTTGAATGAAATAATAAGTAAATACAAATAGGGGTTGAAAGAAATTAAGGATGTAGATTTTTCCCCTCAATTCTGAAAAAAAACATAATCAATTTAATGAATTAAAGTATTAAAAAAATATATTACTCTTCTTCATAAAAATAAGACTAATGACCAATGTTACTTTGTGCCTGGTCAATATTACATTTCTCCAAAATAAAGAGACAATTAAATATTTATTTACTCATCTATATTTTTAGGTTCTTGTACAACACAAGTCATCAAACTGTCTGTTTCATTTGATACACATATGGTTCATGAAAACTGCCAGCTGACATAACAATTTTACAAATATGCCTTTAGCATGTAACTATGATTATAAAAGAATTATCTTCATAAATATGTTTATCGATCTCATTGTTCTTCACTTTTGAAACTGATAAATAAATAAATGAACTGATCAATAAAGAAATTAGAAGAATCTAATGTACTTGTCCTGATAACTTTACACATATTTTTCTTTGTCGCAGTTGATTCCACATGGAACATGCATGATAAGTTCTCCATCTGATGTTGATAATTTATTTTTATCCATTCATGTATATTATGGTTTGATTGAGGGAAGATTATGAAGGAAGTGCAAGGATAACAACCCTTTAATTTAGCATTAAATTTGTGAAGCCAAATTAGAAACAAACAATCAAAAACTGTTTAAGCAATAAAAATATTAAATAAAATGTATATGCTACCGTTGTTCAACATTTGTATAATTTTCCATATCGAGTTTTGGAGGAGAAACTGTTGACTGAGAAGCATGACTTTCTTCAGCTTGACTTTCTTCAGATTGACTTTCTTCAGATTGACGTTCTGGTGTAGATGAAGTTGTATTTAAAGGCTCTAAAATATTTCAAACAAAATAAAATTAATTTAATTTTTCAATTAAAATGTTTAAAAAAATTAAGCCATTATGGAGCTATTTATAAACATTTTAATATTGCGAGTTTTATACATAATTTTTATTCGGTAGGTATTGTGTGGTAAAATTTTTAGGACTAAACAGAAATTTAACAGAAGGTACATTAAAAGTCTTACTTTATGGTAAAAAAAAAAAAAAAAAACAATTTGAGTTTAAAGTATTATTTTTTTTATAAAGAAATTTTAATATCAAATTTTGTCGAAAATCAGTATGAGTAAAATATTATATGGAACAAATCTAGGTACTGATCCGTACAAATTGTTACAATATAATATTGATATAATTGTAATATGACATATATATTGTTGAAAAAACAATACTATTAACCGAGCTCCACTCAGAACTCATTAGAAATAATTAATTCAATTTATTACCTATAACTGCATCTGCTTCCATTATTCTAGGTCTAGGTTTTCTGCCCACTTTTTGTTTTTTATGCTAAAAACACATTATAATATATAGAAACCAAAATTAAACAAAATTCAATGAAATATATTACATTTGAAATGGCATTTCTAATTAATTCTTTTGATTCATCCATTCCAATTCGTTTTTTAGAGAAAGTGAAGTTTTTTGTTGTTAACGGAATCGTTGAATTTAAATGATTACGTATTTTTCCCAATGATCGGCATTTTTCATTGGTTGGGCTATAATAATATACATCAAATGATGCATAACTTTTATTTGTTGTATTCCTTTTCACCAATTCTCGTTTCCATCCTAAAAAATAACAACTTATAAATGTAAAACACTATTTTAGGCAAATTTAGTGCAAAGACATGAAATCTCAAAAGACCCGCTCTTACAATGTCTGTTCAGCACTCATATATAACTAGTGGTTAAATTTGTCATTAAATATGAGTTCATAGTCCGCGCAAGTCAACACCTTACAGGACATCAGCATTATTGAAGAATTAGACTAAAAATTAAAAGTAGCTAACAGGAAGAATTGGATGAGATTGTCAAAAACCCCAAAATTAAGAAGTATAAACAGCAAAATAATACACAAATACACTTACCATAATTGAATGGAAGCTTATAACGTGGATCTTTTATATCTATGTTTCTCTTATTAATGTTTATATTAGAATTCTTTGTTCTAGAACGTTTTGTTCTAGAACGCTTTATTCTAGAGCGCTTTATTCTAGAACTACGGCGACGCCTACGTGTAGATGACATGGTTAATTCTTCAAATATAAAACTATAAAACAAAATTCAATTTGCATACAAAAATATGTTTTATTTTCACAAAATGTTTTTGTAAAATAAAAAAAGTACATGTCACTATATAAAATATTTTGAATTACACTGTAAAATAAAATCTAAATGTAAAAATATAAGTGAATAACATTATGGTTTCAGCTTTAATAATTTATGAACTACAGTTTTAAAACTCTAAGAAAATCTTAAAAGAACACAATGATTAAAAAAGGATAGCCAAAATTTAGATGTGAAAAAATTAGTTTATGGCCCATCATAATACCATAAATTACACACAGCAATAATTAAAGTAAGGAACCACAATTAATACAAATTACCTCAGCAACAAAAATATTAACTCCAATAAAGTATCCATTAAAAATGTATGGTTCAATATTTTCAAAACATATTGATAAAACAAATAAATAATTAGTTTTAGAAATCAATGAAAACCAGTACCTTGTCAGTCATTGCATAGTTGTTTTAAATTATTCTCATTATACACAATGCTAATTTTAAAGACAACATAAAATTAATATAAGCGTATATTACTGTAAGATGTATATTTTTTTCAAAAACATGATCAAACCAAAAATGTAAGTTTTTTTTATAATTAACTGCAATTTTAGATAGACAATATCTTAGGAAATATAAACAGGTACGTGGTGCATTTTAAATTATTCTCATCTTTAAAGATATGCTCTAAGAAGAATCTAAGTTACATTCAAATAATCCATTATAATAAAAACATGTATACATTTGAAAAAAGATTTAAAATTTCCAATTTTTCAAAATATGCATTTTACAATTTCATTTTTGTAGTTTGATCTTTACCAAATTAACATTAGTTTAAACAAATAAAAAATTCTGTTCATGACATTGAAATAAGTTTTTATATGAAATATAATTATTTTTAACAACTTTTGGTGATATTATTATTAAAAAAACTTGGACATTAACATAAGATTATTATATAATATTGTATGTAAATAAATGTATTGGCTTAATATATTGTTTTTAAAATATTTTATGATATTAAGGGTTTGTTGCACAAATAAATGTTAATGTAAAAGTTTATTTTAAATTCTGAGCACACCTTCATCACTTTTGGCTTTTAGAATTTGTTTTGGTTTTTTATCTTTCATAAACTGTTATAACAATAAATATACCTAGAAAGTGGTTCATTGTTCATAAAAATCAAAATAAATCCATAATGTCACTAATGTCACAAAACAATACAAATAACAACTAATAGAAATTACTATGATTTAATCTAAGACCAGAATATCAATGATTCTTTTTGATAACATCAAATGAAATTCTAAAAACAATATTATGAGATTTTTATTTAAAGTTATAACAGTTCAAAGTAGTTGATTTTAATGTTTATACTAAAAACACTAAAAAAAAATGGATGAACAATATGAGACATATGAGAATTAAATAGCCATGAATTCAGATACTAATGTATTATAAATTAATTTTTATATTAAAAGTAAAGTCAATTTTAATTTTGTTATAATAATAATATTTTAAGGATCAGGGTTTTTTAATTTAAATGTATATTGTTATTATAAAGTTAATACATTTTTTTTTTGTTTCTTTATTTGAGTAAAAATTGCCTAAATTAGCTAAATTTTGATCAAAGTCATACAATTATAAATGTATAATTTCCTATATTAATGGTATTTAATTTTGATTCTTAAATAACTATATTAGGTAATGCACAAACATATTTATTTACATATTATAATACATTTTTTATGTTTAAGTAAATATGATATATTCTACAATAATTTTGCATAAAAACGGGCCCTAGTCTTTATATTAATGTAACTATAAAACACTATACAATCTTACTATCATTTTAAAGCCCTGGATTATGAAACAACTATTTAAAATTTGATGATACAGTTTAATCAAAAATGTTGTTCTTCAGTTATCCAAAATATGAGTAAAGACATAAAAAGTATTAAAAAAAATAAACAAACACTCCAATGACCTAATACTTAAAATAATAGTAAGATTTAAAAAGGTACTACTAATATTACAGCTTGAATTTATTACTCTAATAGTAATGATTACTTCACAAAAAATAGGTTCCAACACCAAGCATTTACAGAAGGACCATCATAATAAGTCATACTGAAGTGCTTCAGCATGAAACATTATATGGTGTAATATAATAGGTAGGTATACTTTTAAGTAAAAATTTAATATTAAATTATCAATATAAAAATTAATAATATAATAGAATATACATGTATCATAGTATAATGTATACTCTCTTCCAAAAGCACCAGGTACTACAGGTCATAACGAGCGCATTATATATAATAATAAATAAAGATACTTATATAAGTATCTACCTAAATATCGGCTATATTATATAGCCTTATATTGGATTTGACAACTATCTGTAATATTGCATTAAGAGGATGCCACACCAACATCAATTGTTTCCGCCATACAAACGCGAGACAACAAATTTGCATTCAGTAGTACACATTTTGTACCATTTAATTTTGGTAAGTAATAGGTAAATTTGCTTTAAGATTAAAACTAACGGCACAGATGTGTCCTATTGAATTCAAATTTGTTAAAAAAAACTGATGCAAAATTTGAATTCAGCATCCTATAGGTTTAATGTCTTGCACAATCATATGTAATTTAGTTTTAGGGTAATTAATTTATGTACGCTAGAAATGAGTTTCATTCCACTATGCGATGGAACATACAATTATAGACCAAAATGACTAACTTACTCGTGTGTGTTCCTTGTAGATTGTAGACAGGTCCAAGAATGTAAAAAACGTAACGTAAAACAAAAATATTTAATAATATAATTATTGACTATTGTTTTGTTTTTGACGTACGACCATAAGAAAAATGTCTGTAAGAAAGAACAAATGGTGTACAATGTAAACATAACCTAACATTAGGTAACTCGGCACCGAGTGGTGATAAGGGGTATATAGTACAAGAGTGATAGTCGACACAGTATCGCCAGCCTCAGTACACCAAACAATTTTATGAGCAGATCAAGGCTTACACACGGTATATGGTGAGGTTAGTGGACGAGTGTCTGGTCAATTCTACCCCTGTATACTTGATAAGGAAAATATCACTTATTATCACTATCATTATTTTCATTCCAATACATTCCAAATATTTTTTGTTAAGAACTTTTTACTACATTCATACGATTACAGCGGAGGCTTCCTTAGGGAGGGGCAAATGGGCTAATCGCCCTCATGGACTTCAAATTTTTCTAATTTACGTCACACTAGAAAAATATATAAAAGTACACTGTAAAATGTGTTGTGATATTTTATATTTTATGATAGTGAATACATATATATTATGTATTATAATATTTATTCGTGTCACGTATTTATTAATTTATCGCAATGTTAAAATATAGTTACGAATTTGATGATTTATAATATTATGTTTATTATGGTACACGTCGACTTATTATTACTACCTATAAAATTACCTAACAGCTTAAACGGAAGAAAAGATGAATTTTTAATTGAATCTATCATTTTTAGATATTAAGAAGGCCAGTGGCGCCAATTCACATGGTGTACGGTCACTGAAATATGTGCTGTCTTTGGTGGATGTATATAATATACATTCAACATACGCAATAATATCAATTTTTAATTTTGTACCACGTTTGTGAGGAGTGCAAAACTTGGTAGAAAACCTATCGATCACAAGACTTGGCTTCATTGAGCAAAGCGAAAAATTTTTCGCTTATTTATATATATACATTTTTATTAATTTATATATTATTATTTATAATATTCGCATATTTGTAATAATAAAATGTGTGCTGATTTTGTAGATTATAAGCGTACTGAGTGATCTATTGATTATAATGTAATATTTTTTTTTTGTATTGTTGTATACTATATCCGGTTGATGCCGGGTTCACCGTCAATTTTGGTTTCTTCCGTAAATGACGGCGGATACTCGTTTATTTGAGATCGACTTTTGGGATTAATCAAACACTGAAC